CCCCCCCACGTGCCCACTACTCTCTCTCTCTCTCTCTCTCTCTCTCTCTCTCTCTCTCTCTCTCTCTCTACTTTGCAAACTTCGGACTTCGGCTTTGCCAGAAGAAGAAGAAGAAGAAGAAGAAGATAGTAAGAAGAAGAAGACGAAGAAGAAGATAGTACGAAGAAGAAGAAACAGAGAAAAACAAAGGAAGGCTTACCTTCCGAGGCCGGGGCGGACGTTGGGGGGGCGACGCAGTCTCGACCTCGTTCACTTTCGACGAAGTGTCGAAGTGACGGGTCCTGCTGCTCGAAAGCAGCTGGAGGCAGGAGGCGGGGTGGTGGGGGCTGTGCCTGGGAAGGTTTGGATCGCCGCCGAGAACTTTGGGTGGTTTCCCCTCCGAATGTTCAAAAACGGGCGGCCTATCTGGGCCGCAGATCTCACCAGATCGACGGCCCAAATAGGCCATCAGTTTTTCAATAATCTGGCGGGCCTACCGGACCCGGTTGATTTTTTGGGGGGGCCGGGAGGCCTCCACGACCTGCATGACACCCCCCCCACAGCGAATTGCGCAATTTGCAACCGGTGGGGAACCGGTGCTCTCCACCGGCCGGTACCACCGGCCCGGTTCCGGTGGGGGAAGGGGCCGCCCGTGGGACCGGAAATTCAGCCTTGACACACGGTCATTATGCCTGTATTTGTGCAACTTGCACTCCAGATGCAACGATAATGGCTGTACGTTCTATTTGGGGGAAGATGGTACGGCAGCGCCTGGTACCAGGGTTGACACACTGCCAAGATTGTTTGGCTTGCAGCAAAATGGATCCTCCAAATTTTTACAGCCTTCTCTTTTTCGGTGAGGAATGTCACCAATTTGACCTCATATCGGGCTTGAACCTCCATCCTGCCCTGCACCCAGCATAGCCACATTCTTCAAAATTGGTGCAGAATAGGGCACAAAGTTACCATAAACTCATTCCTGTTCTTAAACCACCAGTACCTCTACCAGCTAAAAAAAAAAGTTGCGGCCGTTAACGCGCCGCGACTTTAGGGGGTTCGGCAAAGGCTTGGCATCCAGATGGGGGAGGGAGCTAGTGGGCCCATGGGAATTCCTCTGAAGGACTGCACGATGTCCGGTAGGTACTCTATGGGGAAACGAATGTCAGGGCAATAACGTGCAGATCCTGGTTTCCGATTTCCTTTTTTTTTTTGTTTCCTTTTTTTTTGGAAGAAGATCCTTGGCTGCTTCTGCCCTCGCTCCCCGTCAGCCACGGGAAGCATTCACTACTGGCTGCTCTTTCCTGGCAGAGGGAGCTGCAGCGTTGCAACTTTCGTGACTGAATCTGGCTTCCCTTCTGCACACTAGGAACGAATGTGAGGGCAATACCTTGCAGATCCTGGTTTCCGATTTCCTTTTTTTTTTKTTTCTTTTTTTTTTTTTGGAAGAAGATCCTTCACGGGTGAATTCAATGCCGTAGTGGAAACAAGAAAACGACGCGCCTGTCTACGTTCCTGCTGCTGGTACCTGCTAGCAGCAGCACATGTCCCACATTTTTCCCCACTCCCCGCAGGCTCGGCAAAATTCGGCGCGCAGGGCATATTCAGGGTCGGGCCTCAACAACCGGTAGGTACTGGTGGTTTAACAATGAGCAAAACTCAGCGGGTCACACACACACGCGTGCAATCATACAGGCAAACAGGCACACGGGACCTCAGCGACTATGCACGCAGCACACATAGATAGAAATCTCAGCAGACTACGGAAATCTCAGCAAGTCAGTCAAACAAGCGGCAAAACTAAGAAAACAGCAAGTTTCTCAGTCTGCAATTTTGCAGGTCATTACAGTGTTATCTACTATGTGCCCCTCTGGTCTTTTCCCGTGTTATCCTCAGTGTCGGAGTGCAGCACATTTCAGATGTGCTGAATAATCAGTGTCTGTGTGTGCCTGCAACACAGTTATAGGGCTGTTGTGTTGAGGATTCCTGTGTGTCTGTGTTCAATGGTGATGACAGAGATTGATCATTTTAACTCCTTGACTCTGGCAATAGTGTGAGTCAACAGTCTCTAGAGTTCTACTTGCGCTGTGAGTAGGGGATGATCCAATTTGATCCATGCTGTATGTGTGGACTGCCTTGTAGCTGCGGCCATGCTTCCTGGTTGCCCATCCGCTTGCCTTGTGTTGGTGTGCTGCTTGCCCGCTTGCCTTGTCTTCCTGCCTTTTTGCCTGCTCGACCGCATGCCCACTGTCTGCTTTTGTGCTGCATGCTTTGCCTTCCCATCTGCTTGCCGTGTGTTGTGGCCATGCTTGCCAGCTTTTTTTTTTTTTTTTTTTTTTTTTTTTTCTCCCTTAACARAAAAGCCCTTTCGCAAGTCCACTATCCTGGCAGTGGTAAGAGAACCACCGGGATTGAGGCCTTGGCTGGTGGGCTGCTCCATCTATTGGTGGGGAGGGGCACCTGCTGGAAACCGGGTCCAGCGTCCCTTGGAAACAGCATTGTAGTACCATGTGCCTGGGTATGGTCATTAATCTTCCTGTCGGAGAGCTACTCTTTCCCTTGGGGCTGCGAGTGATGCCCTTCCCTTAGTAGAAATCACTCCTCAGTACCGACATAGCCCCATTCCTGGAAATGTCAAGCCGTTGTTCTTGTCCTATTTGTCCCTTTTCCCTCTAGTCTTGCCGTAGTCCAGGAATCTGCAGCCCTTCCCTGAACAATCTTTTGTAGAGTTCCTTTGGAATTTATGGAGGACATGCCTCCTCAGCCTAGAACCAGGCCGCCACAAGTGATAGAGTAGCAATTGGCATCTTCCCTTTCTTACTGTCTGGGTACTGGAAAGCACCAAGGTTGGCATTTGGACCGTTTGTAGTATCGGGCCCACTTGGGCCAACTTGCCAGCTTGTCTTATCTGCTCACTTGCTCGGTTGACTTGCTACCTGCACAGCTGCACGCCCACCTGCTTGCTGAATTCTGTGCTGAGCTGCTCCTTGGTTGCTTTGTTGTTTGCCTCTGTGCCCGCCCGCCCTCACACCCCTCTGCATTTCTTCTGCCTGATTGTGTATTGCACGTGCCTGACTCTCCACCTCAACAGTGAGCTTTTGTTTTTACCGGCTTTAGCCCAGGCCGATAAGTTATTGAGGGTGATATGAGCATCCCCAATAGCTTCTCAGTTGCGGGCTTCTCCGTTCTATTGGTGGGGAGCTTCACCTGCTGGAAACCGGGTCCAGCGTCCCATAAAAACAATTACTGCTAGAAATGTGACAAACATTTGAGAGTATTCTACCAAAGTGTATGTCTATGTACGTCCTTGGCCATCCTCTATTCCCTTCCCCCCCGTAGCCAGGATGCACTGGGGGGCTCCAGCCACTGCCCTGGCTCTGTTTGTTGCCTGTTTTCCTTCACTTTTCTGCTAACACTGCTGGAAACCAGGTCCAGGATTCCATACTTACCTAGAACTTGCCAAACAGATTTGAGGGTGCGCTGGGGGGCTCCAGCTGCCACTCCGGTCCCTACCATCCTCATTGTCCTCTATCCCTTTCTATCATTTCTCTCAAGCTCGTCAGGTTTCATCATACTTGAACTGCTGCAATAATTCTCCTCCTTTTACTACCCTCCAAACCATCCTCGTTTCATGTTACATGCACAGATATGAATTGTATGCAATAAACCGAGAATCTGCAATGTGATGAAAAGGACTGAATAGACAATGCGGTACGAGTAGAATCTCGACAAGCAATGTACATTCTCAT